CAAATTTGACAGCTAAAGAAGGCGATAGTATGTAACTTTGAATGCGATCAACGAAATAATAAAAAAACAACTATTAGCATAATTGAGTTTCAAAAAATACATTAATTTTATTGAAACATTTTCTAATATGACAAAATATATTTGAAGTACTGTTTTCGCAGTTTTAGTTCCAAAATAAAATGCAACTTTTAAGGTTACTCCGACACGTCCTCAAAACAGTTATGTCCTCAAGCTATTTTTTTTAAATAATAGTGTTGTAAGCAATTAATCGCCGAATTTCACCGAGTCGCTTCGATTTCTCGGAAAAAATATAAAAAAATATTAGACAAAATTATGAACATTATTTGAGATTGTTTGTTGTTGACATTGACAACTTCTAACTTATTGCCAGCCGAATAATTGTAAATTTATGAAATCCTTGGATTCTTGGTAATTTAATCTTTTTATGTAGTGGTCTTTTCGATGAACATACTTATTTACACTAAATTCTCGTAATAAACCATTTATGAATGTTATAAAATCAAATTCAGTTTTACAAAGATACGAGGAATTGCTACAGAATTGCAAGGAATTCTGTAAATGAATTGCTTTTAACAGAATTGCACGATTTGGCCTTTTAGGCCACCTGAACAACAATGAACCGAAAAATAATCTAAACAACCACAAACACTTAAAATTTTGAATCGATTTCTCGTGAAAATCGTATAATCTGATTACCGACTACAGTAGATTACTCAATACTCAATATATTTATTGCATTCATATGGTATACATGTCTACGTCATCGACGTGCCATTAAAGAGCAGGATACCAAAAAATTGCAATGGCAATTAACTCGTAGCTCGATGGCCAGTCACTTACAAACCCACAGACATGTCTGTAGATAAGCCACTGCTAATAACTTTTAGCAAAATATTAAACGTACAAAACCCTGCCATTGACACCATCGACACAAAACTGAGATGAAGAAGGAACTAGTTACCATCAGATACCGAAAATATAATTATTCATTTACAATCGTAAGATTGAAATTATTAGTGTAATAAAGTAATAGAAATAAATACATAATGTACCTCTATAATCGAACGTGATAACGTGGAAGTCCAAATCCTGAAAGACTTTGTAAAGTTGGAGACGATGAGGTGACGCCCTGTGATTAGAATTACCTGAAAATCATTACAATACCTACTTTAGTAACAATAGATCTCCTTGTGAAAGTGTTCGTCCAGGGAAGGTTACTTCGATTATTTTTTTCTTCTTTCCATAAAGGAGAAGGCACAGGTTTTACACCATACAGCCAAGTCTTGGTACATTATTCTTTTTTGGTACATGAAGTTGAATTATGTTTCTGTAAATATGGCCGCCACAAAGAGGATAGGCAATTTGAGGCGGCGTGCTTGGATTGACTCGGGATTCCTTAGAACGGGCCGATACGGGTATTTTAGTTCGAGATTCGTATAATTTCGCTATTGTGCGTTAATTGAAGATTAAAAATCTTCAATTAACGCACAATAGCACTATCCTATTCCACTTTAAACTAGATTTCACTAAATAATTGAAAGTCAAAATAAAAACGACACTTTTCCCTCCAAAAGGTCCATAGCGAATCGGTTACTTTGATTTAAACTTTCACTATATTCACACATTATTTGATTTTTAATTCGGGACTTAATCACTTCGAGACCATGGACGTATTGCAACGTCCATAGTCTCGAAGGGACTGAAGAGGCCGGTATAATAATAATAATATAATAATAAATTTATTCAATTTAAACATACAGCACTTAAACTAGATGAATACAATAAGGTACAATTCGATTGTATGGGCAGACAAAAGTTGAACCATCATAACCTATTCTAGGTACAAAACCTGTGTTAATAGTGTTACGAAGATTCTCCGTTTTAACAAAATCAGAAAAGAAAACAATCTTTGAACTGCGGGTAAAACTGAAATAGTGTAGTGCAGGGCCGTGAATCTAGTGTAGAGTAGCAGTAGCAGTAATAAAAAGTAAGTAGAAAGTATGTGTAAGTGTGTGTGTGTGTGTGTGTGTGAATGTGCGTGTGTGTAAGTGTGTGTGAAAGTGTGTGTGTTTGTGTGTGAGTGTGTTTGAGTGTGTGTGTGAAATGAAATGGAGTAGAGTGCGCTTAATAGCATTTATATAGATAGATAAATAAAATAAATAGATAAATAAAATTTAAGTATGGAAGTCATCTTCTAGCCGTGCGTTTTTCTAACTACCCGCACTTGATCTTCATTATTTGTTTGTGCACTAGGGTTCTCACTAGACCGACACACATTACTCACGATACGTTCATCTCACGACATTGTTATTTGTTATATACTCACGCACGGCTAGAAGATGCTGACACCGCCTTTTCAACCCTTCGAGATCATGGACGTTGCAATACGTCCGAAACGTCGAGGCAAATAAAATATGTTTTTATACGTGATTAAATCCCGAATTACATAACAGGGAAGGTTAGTTTAGTTAGTAGAGGAACCATATCTATTTCTGCCGCCAAGCAGTAATGTGAGTGCTACTGCGCTTTAGTTTTGACAGGTTAAGGTGCTGATGAAACTTTAGGCAAGTGGGACTTGTCAAATTTCAATTGCCCCTCAGATCTTTGCAGTTAAAGCTCTGAGTGGCACTACAACTATCTTGGGTTTATCTACAACTAGTTTCTGAGTGTTTTTTCTGAGTGTTCGATCTTTGTATTAATAATTATAAAAAAGAAGTAAAGTTAAAGGAAAGGCTGTAACAATAAAAAGGTAAATTTAAAACAAACAGATACAATAGTATAAAACACTCCCTACACTTTATGATTAAGGCACTTACCCCTAAATGGGCCGAGTAACTGAATTACAGATACGTAATCTTAGGTACATGAAGGCTGTAGACTGTTATAGATTATTGCACATGATTTAGCTTACTTAATGACGATTATAAACGTAGTAAAGAACCAAAATTAGCGATTATACGCGATGGAATTTGAAACAGCTCCGACTGTTGTGGCGGTCGAGCTGGGAGTGACCGTGGTACGAAAACAAAATGAGAATGTGAAGGAAGATGGAACAATCCAAATTTAAAATTTAAATACAAGTAAAATAAAAAAATGACAGGATACAAGAGGAGAGAGGCGATACAAACAGGTGAGATGACGGTGTAAGGAGGTCACACCGTCTAAAGAATTCTTTGGTAGGCGTTGAGAGCGATGCTCGGCGCCCCATAAGTGCGTTTGCATGCGTAGAATCCGCAGTGCTTTGAATCGAGTATTTAATGTAGTGCGGATATTCACGGAAGACAGTCGCCTACAATGAACGCACGGTTGGCTTATATTCCGGACGGAGGAAACCGCGTCACTATAAAACGATGTTCTAACGCCACATGTATTTCTCCGCTCCGGTGTAACACGTGTAGCGTTACTGATAGCGACTATGAACATAAACATTTCCAACACTAACCATGGCAGTACAGCACAATCGTGTTCTTGGTCCGCCGCAATTCGTTGTGGAGCCGCTGGTCCAGATTAACGTAATCTTTTACCACGAACACATCTCTGAACATTGAACAAGGGACAATATGCCATACACCTGTTCACAACATATACATAAATTATCTTTTCATGTTCGACGTGTTTCTTTAAAAAGACGGCAACTAAATACGGAAAACTAAATATTTAGGTACTACATATTGCATATATTGCAACAAACATCCTTAAGCATAAAAGTCTCTTACCGATTTTAATTTCGCAATTATCAACTTTCGACAAAATTGGAATGCTGAAGTTTCTCCCGCCGACGACATTGCAGCTAGACGGATTCTCGTAGTCCAAGTTTCGAGGGTAATTGACTGAAACAATGGGGGAGGAATGGTGGCACAGTTTGCGAGAATTTGCCACCTTGTAAGTGCAAGCTTATTGTTTCAATTTCCGGCGTGCTCATAATACAATACCTACATAATAACTACCTTATCATCTGATGGCTGAGTAATTATAACTTTTTATGGAATCACATCTCTTTGCCAAGTTTTATTGCTATCGATTACCGGTTAGTGCTCGAAACCAGATTCATTCCCTAATTTGCAACTCTTAGAAGTAAAATATTTTCTTCAAATTTAATTGGGACCAATACTGAGGTAGGTCGTCTTTAAAACACAAAAGGAATCGTCACATTCGGTTCACAGAGTAATCGAGTAACATACATACAAAAATAAAATATTTATTAGTCGAATTCAGAACCTCCTCCGTTTTTGAAGTCTGATGAAAAGAGAAATCATTCAAAACACTACAAGGAAATTCTGGGTTTCTAAGTTTAGCTAGCATTCCGGTGTGATGTTGGTTGTAGTACGAATCTGTGTCGAGCGCTATGACCAACGAAAGCGACGACGTCGAACGCCTTAACGTTGGTCAGCGCTCGATACATCAGTAGCACTAAAGCTCCTTGTGAAAGGGTTCGTCCGGGGAAGTACTGCCACCTTACCTACCTATTTCTGCTACCAAGCAGTAGGTGATGTCAGCATTACTGTGTTTCGGTTTTGAAGGGCAAGGGTGCTGGAGAAATTACAGGCACATGGGACTTCTCAATTTATGTCTCAGGGTGACGGGCGCAGTGACAGCGCCCATAAGATTTGCAATTTAAAGCCCTGCCGCGGTCTCCAACACTGCAATGCTACCTTTACACTACAAGTAAATTATCATTTGAACAAGGCTGCGCCTGATGGTAAGCGACAGTAGTTATAGTGTCGCTCAGAGCTTCAAATCACAAAGATCTAAGGGACACTGCCACTAAGCACGTCAGTCTGAGACGTAAGTTGAAAAGTCCTATGTGACTGCGATTTCACCAGCACCCCTTACCGAAATAGGTAAGGCATGAGAAATAGACAACCTTATGTTGGTCAACTCACGCTACAAGGAAATTCTGAGTTTCCAAGTAGTAGTATGGTGTATACTAATTATATTATATAATATGTATTATATTATATAATATTCTAAAGGCTCACGTACATTATGGCGGGCCGCTCTGCACCGCATCGTATTTTATGTATAAAATATAGATATGTCACACACATTGTAATGTATAATCACTATATCACTACGTCTGTCTGTATGATCGCGATAAACTTAAAAACTACTTAACAGATGCTGGTACTGACTACATGGCCGGGGGCCTAGGCCGGCCAAGACTGCAAATCCGCCACTGATACTATAATAATAATAATAACGCACACAATCAACATAGCCCCGCACTAGGGAAACCCTGTGTCGCGGGTGCCATGGACACACACATAGACAACCACAAATTACACCCAAACTCACGAGAGAAATAAATGTAAGCCATACAAACATTTCTCCCGGCCCGGGAATCGAACCTGGGACCTCTAATGGTAATTGAATGTTTTTAAGTTACAATACTTAAAGAAAATTATAAGTTTGTAAGCTTAGCATTTAATGGGTGGAAAACTGCAAGTCGAACAAACTTACACTACAAGAAAATTAAAAACTTCCATGTTTCAAACAAACGTACAGCCACCTTAGACTGAACAGGCAGTCAGGCATCCTCTCTGGGTGAAAGTGTACTTACTATCTTTGTTTACATCTTCACTTTGTCACAAAAAGTTAAAGGGTTAACGGCCTTAAAAATACAGGCTTTCATAGGCCGTTTTGAACTTTTACTTACTACAATTGGAAAAGACCATTTTCCTCTGTACGGACTTGCTGTACTTAAAGACGAGTGGCAGTATTGCCACCTGGATGACTAGAACACTGGCTGTTAACGACGCGCCCGTCGCTAAAAGCAATCTAAAAAACAAAAAAACTTTAAAGTGGCAAATAATTCGTTAAAATGAAAAACAAAGACCTGTAACAAACGCATTGAAGAATTCGTAAAGTCTGCTGTCTCGATCAGTACCTCAGTTGGTAGAGCGGTCGCCCTGGTATGGCACAGATACAGGTTCGAGGTCTGTGGATCGAGGATCGAGAGTTTTTCCTTGTGTTCGATCTTTGTAATTTTTAAGTTTATTGAATGTCACGAAGTTTGACCACCATGCCATTTAAATATTTTTGTGAAATTACTCCAATAGTTTTTTAAAATTATTAACACTTGATAGCGGGTTTTAATTTAATCATCGCGCCATCTATTGGTGTTAGTCAGAACTAAATATAAGCTCATTACACTTATTTTGTATACTTGTCAAACATCGTGTTATTTAAAATTTAGTGTAGAAATCCAAATTTGATATATCGATATATAGAAAAAAATTCCTTGGATACGTCTGGATTCGAACCAACGCCTTGAAGCAAACCGTGGTAGACCTGGTAGTGGTAGAAATTTTCGATCTTTGTGTTAATAATTATAAAAAACTTTTAAAGCGTTAGTTACTACTTAAAGAGCCTGATTATTTACTAGAGAAAGAGACAAATCTAAAAGGAAAAGGGTTGTACATTTGTATCACAATATAATCATCAGTCCACCTTGTAGGTGGTCTGATGATTGCCGCGACGTATACCCAACGTCTCTAAGATATCACTGGTAACATACACTGGTCAAAGACTTTTGCCTTGCGATATTGTGGTATTTTGGACAATATGCAGTATTAGCTTCCCGAAGGGTACCCAGCCTAGTAATGTACGGGTTGAAAATAATATAAAAAAACTCCATACCCAATCACCATGTTCCGCAGGTGTTATTCTAAATTTGCTAATATGCCTCGGATTATTTTTAAAGAAATTTATACACATTTTACTATTTTTATAAATGTTTTCTTAACCCCCGTTTTATTAAAAATATTATGATCATTTTTTTTATATAATTTTTTTAAGATTTTTTTACAATTTTATTATGTGACGTCGTTATGACAAATGCGTTTAACGCTTAAATGTCAATGTCCTGTTTTAAAAAAGTTCACAATAAGCTTCCTACTTTTTACAAAACCATCGTACATAGTCTTATACTTGACATTGGCGAAATCATCGATTATTTTGATGGAGCCATAGCGTTTAAAAGAAGAAGAAGCTTCCTACTTCATGACCTTCTTTTCTGGCCAACGACGCCCACTTTTCACTAATTTTCAACCTTAAAACATAAAACTGTAATCTAGTTGCAGATTGCTTTCTTCAGAGTATATTCAAATTCCAATTTCTCTTTTAATTCCTTATCTTCTCGTGCAACACAGTCGTGGAACAGACTCTCTTTCCATATCCAGTCTAGCCCGTCTATCTCTTCTTTCAAGAAAAGGTTAAAAGCGCACTTTCTTGCTGAACTCTCTCAGTAATCATCTTATTGTATTTTTACATACTTATTTATGTATATATGCACCTATGTGTATATATTACACTATTTATGCTATTTATTATGATTCATTTTAATACTTATGTAAGTAACGGTAATGTGTTTTTATTTTTTACTTACGTACTTTATTATATTTCTTCCGCACTCTCTCTTGCACGCTATTGCCCGCTTATAACCTGTGTTGGCTGGAAGAGATCTATTTTAGAGATAAGTCCACCTTTGCTCACTTTCTGTTAATCTAATATTTCTGTTGTATTTATTTGGTGCAATAAAGAATATAATATATTCAATCCGCGATGTTTTATTCCAACTAGATAGGTACTAAGCAAAGACTTATTACATTTAGTAGAAGTCGTGAAAAAGCTCATCCTGAGAAGTGCTGCCACTTACCTATTTCTGCCGCCGAGCAGTAATTTGAACATTACTGCGTTTCTGTTTTGAAGGGTAATATTCCGGTTTTGAAGTAGAATGAAGTTATAGGCACATGGGACTTGTCAACTTACGTCTCGGTGTGACAGGCGTAGTTCAGTAGGCAGTTCCCCTCGCGTGCCTTATTCCAGCGTGACATGGTCTAGTTTTTGAAATTTGACTAGTTAGTCGGTTCTAGTCGCAAAAAACACCTCGATAACTTCAAAACGGCGTAACGACTAAATATAGTTTCTTACGACTAGAATCGACAAAATCACAACATTTTTAATTTAATCAGATCTAAGCTAGATGTTGTCGTTCTCGAGATTGAGAAATGGAGCCGCTGGAATGAGCTTATTTCAGAGTGGACAGTAAAACACCCTTATAACTTTTGAACGGCGGACCGACTAAATCTAGTTTTTTGCGACCAGAACCGACTAAATAGCGACTTTCTTCTGGCTAGTCAAATTTCCAAAACTCGACCATGGTCACGCTGGAATAAGACACGATTTCGCCTCAGATATTTGCAATTTAAAGCTCTGAGTGGTACTACCACTGTTATGGTCTGATAATATTGCACTTACAAACTTATGCGTTCAAGCCATGTGTGTCCACCCCGGTTTTTGGCGCAAAATCAAACTGAAATGACTTTTTGGCCCATTGCAACCAGAGATGACCAGAGGTTCCACCACAACGAAACTATATTTACCATTGGTTTCCCTACTAAGACACTCTTACAAAGCCACTGTGCTCGTTAAACCAGAGAATAAACAGTAGGTATGGGAGTGATGGGTTACTCCACGAAAGAATAAAACAATGGAAATGCTTTAAGGCTGGCAATTTCATGTATCGGAAAAAAAGTAACGAGTAGTTTCACTGTGTCTGACCCAAACATTAGGCATACAAACGCATTGAAAGTGTTATTAATTATACATTTATTCGCATGCATTATAACAGACTAAACCAGATATAACATGTTATTTTTTTCTAATATCACATAAGCGTGCACATACGGATTTAATAAGTCGGTCAGCAATTTAGGCGCAATGATAGTTATATGAGTCAATTTCAATTAAAATATTTTTAATATAATTAAATGTCAAAATAATAAGACTAGTAACGTCAGAAAAGAAATATAAATATCAAATTTTATTACGCAATATGTTGTTTAATTGTTTTTTAAATAATACAAAGTTTTTTTTAGACTTCAATATTTTCAGTAAATTATTGTCAATTTTTGGCGCCATTACGAAGATACTTTTGTGCATTAAAGCTGTTTTACAAGCTTTCAAATGAAGTTGGTCATAACGTCTTGGCTTTAGAGTTTGCGTGACCAAGTGTGTGTGCATTCGGACGTATACGGCAGTTTCGTATATGTAAAGTCATCAACAGTCAGTTTTCGAAGATCCTTAAAATATGCTTTCTTTAAAACTATCTGTTCTCTTCAAACGACATATTGCTCTGACACATCTTTTTTTGTGCCTTGAAAACTGAATTCACTTTGGTTGCATTTCCCCAGAATATTATACCATATCTTAATATTGAAGCAACATACCCATGATATGCTTGAAGGACCGAGCTTCTATCTACAGCTTTGCTAAGCATGTATGGTGTATATGCACAAGTGTTGAGTTTATTGCAAACATTTTCTAATTGTGCTTTCCAGCTATTTTGTCATCAATGTGTATACCTAGACATTTTGTTATATCTGTTTGTCCTATGCGTGTCCCTTTATATTCTATGTTTATTTGACTAGCTGCTTTTCTCTACTTAAAATTCATGAGTTTGGTTTTTCGAAAATTATTTTCTTGAAGCTTCTATTCTTCATCTATCTATTAATGAATTTAAGCTGTTATTTATTTCATTTTCTTTAATATATGTGACCGTACAATCGTCCGCATAAAGTGTCATTGGATGGCGGGATGCGTTAGGCATGTCGTTAATATATATTAAGAAGAGTAAGGGTCTCAAAATACTGCCCCGTGGTACTCCATATATTTTTAATTTAGAATCAGACTTATATTCCACTTCTATTCTTGTCATAATGTTGATTTTATTAATTTTGTTCACTTGAGTTCTACCTTTTAAATACGATTGTATCATGTTATGCATATTGCCCCTTATACCATATGAGTATAGTTTGTCAAGTAAAATATCATGGTCCACTTAGTCAAAAGCTTTTGTCATATCTAAATATATAGCAAGAGCTGGTAATCCACTATCCATCCTGTTATGTATTTTTTCTAAGAAATCGTATATAGCTAAATTAATTGAGCTGTTTTTTCTAAAACCTCTTTGTTCTTTACAAAAATTTTCATTGTTCTCAAAATAATTATACAAATTATCATAAATAGTTTTCTCGAACACTTTCGAAAAAACTGGCAATAGAGCTACAGGTCTATATGATTCCATAAGATGTTTATTGCCTTTTTTTATACATAGGTTTCATAAGTTATTTTTAATTTTTCATATACCAATGATTTTTTTAAATATCAACTGAACTAAATAGAACAGGTATACTATACGATATACATTTATCAAATGGATTTAATTTCGTTTAAAAAATTAAAATCTGAAATAAAGCCAGTGTTCCTGCTGCTCGACCGGAAATGAACTGCATTAGTACGGTAAAAATTTGAATGAAAAGAGGATCAATAATAAGATTGTTAATTATAAAAAAAATCTTTTATTGGCTAATTGAGCTTAATAAATAAATAAATAAAATATTATGAAAAAGTAAGCGGCACTTTAAATCACTACGCCTCGAAAGGCTCGTGCCCAGCAGTGGGACATACAGAGTGTCTGTTAAATCGTGGACCAACAATTAATTGACTTAAGGCAATAGTACCGTTTTCTTGAAAAACTATTAAGAAAAACGAAAGCAATTGCTTCACCCTATTAGAATCCATTTTAAAACTCTCGTTAGATGTATAGCATGTTAGCAATATCTTTAATCGGATTTATAATTGCAATTAATTTAAAATTGTACAATCTTTACAACATTAAAGATTAAGTGGACACCCTGTATAAGCTAGCTAAAGTCACTATGTGCTGTTATCACAGAAAATAGAGTAACAGTAAGCAGTTAAGGCTTCATCGGTGGTCCTTCACGAACTCCCTGAAACAAACAAGTAAAAATTAATATACAGGGTGACGTTTAAAGGTCGTTTGTGGGCAATGATTTTACACTCATACAGCAATTTGACGCTATTCAACTATTACAGCGTATTAATTTTTTTCATGACTCTATCATGACATTTGTAGTTCACTTTAGTAGCAGTAGAGCTCTGGACCTAACATCTGGACGACAGGGACTGTGTCGTACGTGTACCCGGGGGCACTACCCTTTTGAGAAACGTATGAAGTCTGTGCCAACGGGTTCATCTGGGGTCAGAACCTGACTGAGTCCCAGTGCCCTTCCCGTATAACCAACAGGTAGACAGGTAGGTCTAGCAGCAGTAGAGCTCCTTGTGAAAGAGTTCGTCCAGGGAAGTACTGCCATCTTACCTATTTCTGCCTTCAAGCAGTAATGTGAGCATAACTGCTTTCCAGTTTTAAAGGGCAACAGTGCTGGTGAAATTATAGGCACATGGGACTTGTGTGTGTGTTGACCTCAGATCTTTGCGATTTGTGCTATGAGCAGGCGTGTCGATAACATTAGGCGCACGACTGTTCATACCGTCACTCGGTATAATAATTTTTACGACTAGTATGAAAAAAGATGGCATCCTGTCTGAGCGGAGTGCGAGAGGACTCAAGCACAGTTCTTAAAATGATAGGGGATAGATGGGACTCCGGAATGCTTGTTAGGTTCACTGAAGTTCACGTCCTGGGAGATCGGTGAACTTAGCAGGTAGCATGTAATCATTTCATGCATTTTATTTTTATTCTTGTGTACTATACTCCGTCCATTTATTTAACTTTTGACAGCTCGAATTATAATCAATTAGTGACGTCCTAATGCGTTTCTGATTCGCTTTTTTTATAACAATCGATTTTATTTATGAAGAAGTTATAATCGTGAATGTGAGCGGGTTCCAAAGAGATATTGTCTGATTGGGGTTGTGATGATGC